TCTAATCCCTCCATTCTCCAGCCTGCAACTAGCGCTCTACTCCCTGCATGCTCCAGCCTGCAACTAGCGCTCCACTCCCTCCACTCTCCAGCCTGTAACTAGTGCTCTACTCCCTCCATTTTCCAGCTTGCAACTAGCGCTCCACTCCCTCCATTCTTCAGCCTGCAACTAGTGCTCTACTCCCTCCATTTTCCAGCCCGCAACTAGCTCTCCACTCCCTCCATTCTCCAGCCTGCAACTAGCGCTCCACTCCCTCCATTCTCCAGCCTGCAACTTGCTCTCTCCTCCCTCCATTCTCCAGGCTGCAACTTGCGCTCTACTCCTTCCATTCTCCAGCCTGCAACTTGCGCTCTCTCTCCTGCTTACACTCTATTTTTTCGCTTCTTCTCCTTTGTCATCGCATTCCCTTGAGCTATTCGGTTTGCTTTTGATTCGCATCGTCTCTCTCTCTTCGGTGCGGTCCGTGTCCAATCCCTTATATCACAATGCCTTCATTTTATTTTATCTAACCGACACCTTCTCATTGTTTCCTTCATTTGAAAATTGATATTGCTGGATAATGCCTGCAGTTCATCAATTTGGCTTAGCAAAATTTTGCAGTTCATCCTGCAGCTTATCTCTAGTGGCGTGGCAAAATCGGACCGATTGCAAAATTGTAGCGGGTAGTTTTTTCAGGAGCTTTTCGGCAGTTGCAACGAGTTGTATATACAGTGAGTGCATAGGCACCCCGGCACAGTGTTGCGAGCGCTTTAGATTCCTACTAGGTAATTATGGCAGTCAGATTCGGCAATTTAGTTCACCATATGGGGACTGCAATGGCTTAATTTTTGAGTTGTAACAAGTATCATTTCGTGTAACCGTTCATTCAGCCTGTTAACACGCGTTACTCTCATTAGTCGAGATTAAGACTAACATGGTCTCGCTGTTCCCTTTCCTCTACTATCAACAGCTAGAAGGCACTTCGTTTTCAGGCCTAAGTAAATCTTTCTGCGCTGAAAAAATTGTGTATATATCAACCCCATCGGTAGTAGAGAAGTACGTTTGCCAATCTCAGAGATTGTTACAGCTTCGGGTCTAATTAGAAAACTCCGACACCCTAAATTAACTTATATCGTTTGCCTTTGCCAGAATTTGCCATCATTGTCATTTCACTAAATCGTATCTGAAACTATCAAATTGATGCGAAGTGAAGATTCATAAATGATTGCATTTCTGATTTGTTGAAACATTTGCTATTTAAATCCAAGTAGCAGTCTTTGTATCTTGCAAAAATCAAAAGATCCGCGAAGCTCTGCGAAGCGAAGCATTTCTTGTGTCTGCTTAATTTCCTCCTTCCAATCGATATATGGATCGCTTTCAGAGTTTCGTCTCAGCTGGCGCGGCTGCTGCGTGACTCCAACAAAAACCTTTGGTCCCTTTGGACCTGAAACCACCTAAAAACTTCTACAACATGAGCGCTCTCGAATTAAACGTCCGCCAGAGTCCTCGAAGATAAAGCCTTGAGCTTGTAAGGGGCTGAACAAGAGAATGCTCCGTCCTTGGGCGAGGCCTTCCTATATAGCCGTGCTATCTTCCTTATTGGATTTATTTTGAAATTTATCGAGGCTTCTTTTGAACTTTTAACATGGTTTAACAAAAATTTATTTCTGAAAAATGTGTGGAAGAGAATATTCTTCTTAATATCCAATTTGATTTTACTTATTTTGATTAGAATTGCCCACTATAAAGTGAACTAAATGATTTCAGTGACGAAGTTTTGAAAGCCATATGTATGTCGCTCACTACGAGGAAAATCGAAGCACGACGTTTCTATTCCTATATGAGATTAATTTCCTATTTGATTTACGGTTTGTCATAAATCCTACCAGCTTCGAAATAGTTGCATCTGACTGTTACGCAATATTATTGCGTAAAATAATCCTAAAAGTGATCAAACAAATATTGGCATTGATATTTAAATTGAGAGAACCTATTCAAAAGTTATGATTCTATTGTACACGATCGTGTAACTCGATTTTGACTTATATCGGACTACTGGAGTATAGCATATTTCTTTGGCTCTTTACTGATTAGTTTATAAATTAACCGTTATTTTGTTTATAAATTTCAACCATATGGTTCATTCTAAACTATAGAAGAACGCGCGGTACTATTCTACCCATTCACACAGATATATTTACAAGGAATAAAATATGCCTTTTCTTTTGGGTCAAAAAGACGCGGGTTCTATGATACAAATAGAAGTTACGGATATTCTATGGTGCCTATTTGCGACCATGGCAAGTAACTCCATGTAATTCTGCGCACGCGGCATCCCCGGCTTTGGTGTGCAGCCATCAATGGGATCTTGCGGCGATCCTTCCATTGCCTGGAGTGGCAGAGGATGTTGCTGTTGCCCAGTAACGGAGTTACCGTCCCTTGTTTTTGTCGTAGAATTTCGCAGTCTCAGAACACACGTCGTTATTTTCCCGTAAAATGTAACGTTTCTATTTATTGTGTCTATTTCTATCTTCTATTCGCTACATTTCTTTGTCGATGTCATTTTCATCAAGTTCTATTTATTTGTACGCTGTGGTTTTAGAAAGCCTCATTTTTATACAGAGTAAATGGGACATTGTTCGTAAGCAATTATTATTACACCCAGTATCTATATTCTTAGTCTTTTGAAATAACATTTAATTTTAACAAAGAATGAGCATGCAAATAAAGAGAAATTTATGAATAATAATTTTCCTGACAATGCAGATGATTGTGAATGCTGCTTTCCCTATGAAATTATCATATCACATTAAATGACGTACAACATAGTCTTGGGCGGTGGACTGTTGTGAACAAATTTTTTTCTGCGCTCATCAATCAAAGGAAATACCGGTTCTGAATGGAACTTTTTGCATTACAAAAAAGCCTCAATCCTCGACTTGGTAATTCTGAGAGAAATTTTCTCACGTTTTTGTGTACCAGTCCAGGTGACTAACTTATACACCCTTGAAAAAAAAAACAAGTTCATCATAACATCGTTTTCTGCTTTTACATTTCGATTGGGTTTACAACATTTTTAATTATCTTTTTTACTGACTCTGCAATTTCATTACCAGTTATTCGTGGTCAGTGAGAAGACGACTCTCAGGTGTCGGTAGTCCAAGTTGGCAGTTGGTCTGAGCTTGATCGATGGCTCGCTGGGTATTCCAAGTCCAGCTCATTAATGCCGCGCGTTCACCTGGCCGTCGCTAATTGAGTCATCAGATCTCCGTGCGTTATATGTGCTTCCGACAAATCAGATGTCCGTCCGGCGAATTCATTTTCATTTCTGGCTGATATTGATGGATAGCTTTTGTAGAGGCATTGGCTGTGATTAAAACCTCAAATATGTTTTCTTTGTTGTATTCTTATGTTTAATTATTATTGTTCTAAATTGTCGCAGCTTTCGATTTCAGGCGGCCACACCCTCGATTACTCTGTAATGTTTAAAGCCACCTCGCCAGTTTTGTAGCATATACTAATAATTCTCAAATTTTAAATATATATTTTTAGAATCGATCTTCGATAACTTCTATGTTTTTTTTTTTTTTTGTTTCTAGAGGCCAATAGATTATTGTACACTTGGAACCACTAGTGAAAAATTTTGCCGAAAAGTATTGACGTATGAATAACATTTAACGAAAATATTAGTATGTTTTTTTTCTTCATTCATGACAATATCCAAGAACGACGTCGCCTATCTTTAAACCTTGTAGCAAATTAATATGTTTGTTTATGGTGCACCCTCATGTTTTATTTAAATTTTTTTGTCGTACATTGTGGTGGAATGCTCGACTGTAGAGAACAAATTGGACGTTTCTTACCATCCCCGACATTTTGCGCGAACGCATTTCAATATTTTGTTGCTCTCGTCTGTCTCTCTTGATCAAAAATTGTTATGGGCTTAGAGTGGATCCTGGCTAAAATCCATTAGGCTGCATCACTCGAGTTCTCTTTTATGCCAGCTTTGGGACATTTCTGAACTTTTTTCCGATTAGGACGCTCCAAAATTAGATTTTTCTGCGAGAGTGGCTTTAGGAAGCTGATCTTGCTAAGAGGCAGAGAAGCCTGCCCAGAGACACGGAAGCCTGGCTTTACGATCGAATTCAATGATTAGTGCGAGACTGGTTAATAGATTGCAGTGATGAAATAGCAGTGAAGATTGCAGCAGCAAATATGGTGCAAGGTGGTTAGAGGAAATGAAATAACGATATTTTGTTCGTTGTCAGTGAAGCTTGAGCTTGTTTTGGTTCGCTGTCGCAGTTGCTTGGACTTGAGGCACACAAACCTGCTTCGGCGACTGCCTGGACCACACTGTGTGACTGTGGCTGCGTACAGCTTGGATGCTCCAGTCACTTGCCCGGCTTCACACAATCGCTTGCATTTTCACATTTCATTCCGCTGACAAGCATTTCTTGACGTTTGTGTTTTGATGTTTGCCAGCGTCAGCGAAATTAAATTACCGGTACTGTCGATGCGGGGAAACATAATGCCCTAGGGTGTTGTCATCCCGGCATTGGGAGCAAAGGTTGTTATCAATGTGCATGATGCATTGTTTTCTGACTGCTGGAGGCGCGTTGACATATGTCAGTAACTCTTCATTTTAAATGCCTGCCTTACAAAGATTATTCATCTTAGCTATATTTACTTTAATTTTTTACTATTTTTCCATGGAATTGAATTTATTACGCCATATACTGACTAAAAATTTTCATCGGTCTTCAATTTGCCCGATACATTCACTTGTGCAACACACTGCAATTAATAGCTACCAGTTTCAATCGACAGGGGCGTTGCGATTCTGTTTAGTGATAAGATTAATCAGAAAAAGGGGAACCTAATTCAGTAATGTGATTTCATTCTACCTCAATTTTTCTCTGATCTCTCCTGATTGTTTAACCTGACCTCACTAAGGACGTTGATGTTTGTGCTCTTCACCCCTAATTATTTCACGTCACTAATAATATTCTGTGTTTGTGCAGGAGCTCGCGCCGCTAGTGATGAACCGGACGCAGCTTCACCAGCGCGGTCGTTCTCGCCGCCGCAGTTAGCCGCTGCTGGACATGCAACCGCCTCTCCTTCCAGCCCAACCGTGTTCGCAGGTACCCGTCAAGTGCAAGTCATTTGGATCAAGCAAACTTTTGTAGCGGACAGAGCAATCATTGTTAAAATGAACCAAAAATGGTGGCTTATTATGTTTTGTACTTATTTGTATTGTTATTATTGTTTTGTGCAATGAAGAAATGGAATTTTGCGTTACATGAATTTAATGGTTGCGTGACACTGGAATGGATGCGAGATTACTTTTACGTGAGGATGTTTTGTTCCGCGTGCAGGAGGCTGACCACTGCAGTGACGAGGTTGCTGCTGACACTGCTCCTGTCACTTCAGCTGACGCTCTTGTCACCACCGCCTCTGCTGCTGTCAGTTCTCCTGTCAAAGAACAACAGCTGTTAGCTGCCGAATCCCCGAAGCTTTCTCCAAGCACTCCTCTGCCTAAACATAACATCCTACAGACTCCTGACGACTCGTGCCTCACTCCTCACGATACTCACACTCTTCACCCTCAAGACTCGACACACTCCATTCCTGATCTCCCCCAAAACTCTGTGCCAGAGTCACCAACTCCTAGCAGTCCTTCCGTTCAGAGTTCTAGCTCCGCTAATTCTCCTGCTACAACTCCGAACGCCACTGCCTCCCCTGCATTTAACGCTGCTGCCTCTCTTGTTTCTTCCCCTCACAACGCCTCTCCCTCTCCTGCCTCACCAAACACGTCCTCCTCCTCCCCATCTCCTCCTCGCGTAGCGAGTGCCTCACCGCATTATTCCCCCATCACTTGTGATGCGCCAGGAAATCAAGCCCCAATTATTATCAGCTTCGGCGCTCCTGTGTCGTGTTCTGATGTTCGGTTCGCGGCAGTAGGTTCCTCTCCCGTGACTTGTATTTCTTCCGCGTCAGGGGCGACCATTTTGACATCTCTTGCTCCAACCTTCACATCTGTTGGTCCTGTTGCCACATCAGCGACGTTCACCGCTGGCGCTACTCCGGGGTCCATCTCCTACAAGGTCTTGCCGTCAACAGCCTCGCGGGTGACCGCTCTACAAAGCAACACTGCGCCGTCCTACGTTACCTACACGAGTCCTGGCTCGTTATTGAGTTCTTTCGTTCCAAGACCTGCGTCGGCTTTGTCGGTCGCTGCAGGTGTCAGGTCTCCTCTTCGGGTCGCCGCTCCTCGCATTGCCATGTCTCAGGTTATGACTCCCCAGCCTGCCCAGCCCCAGCAGGCGCCACCCCAGTCCCCACACCAAACCCCCACTGCAATCACTCCTCAGTCTTCACAGGCAAGTAACTGTCGTCAGTAATATCTCATAGGTAGTGTTATATTATTGGCAGTGACATGCTATCTCGGTGTTTTCGATGAATTTATTTCATCTTTCATTTGAAAATCATTGCCTAAATGTTCTCTCCAGGGATTACGGATTATGTTCAGGCCTTAGGTTTGTGTTGTTGACGTTAGTGTAAACGGTAGTGATATTTGTGCAGCATTTCTACGTGCAAGCTACGATGACTGGTCCCGCCATGAGCATCTCTGCCCCGCCCGCGATCGCCCCCGCGCCGCCCCCACAGACGACACCCTCGTCCACCACCACCACAGCGGGGCAGCAGCACCACCAGGCCACCTTACCCACCCTGCAGCAGCAACTGCAGCACCTACAGCAGCAGCAGTTGCAGCAACCCCTGCAACAACCTCTGCATCCTCACCAGATCCATCACACGGCTGTCTCTCCGTCAGCCATGGCTCAAGTAAATATCATGATTTATCATGTCAACCACGTTTTTGCTTTTTTGCTCTACAGTTTTTTTGCCGGTTAACTAGTTTTGTTTTTAAATAATTTAAAAACCAATGAAATAAGAGAAGAAATAATCTATTGATAAAATTGGTCAAGTCTTGTTTTTCATTCGCATCTAACCGGCCTAGTTTAAACAGTTATGTCGATGACGTGTCGATATCCACGCTCCAGTGGATTTTTCTTCCACTTAGCGCCGTAGCAATTGCTGGTTATGAATACTTGGTAATTATTCCATTTGTTCTGTACTAATGTAATGAATAAACAATAGCTTTCAAGCTTAGCGCTTACGAGGCAGATGTCGCAGCCTCCCACTCACTCTCCCTTGTTCTTGTGTTCAGTTTTCGCCGCAACTGCAAGTGATTCAGTCATCACTGCCAGCACCGTCATACAACCTGACGCAGTTGTACCAGAACGCTCAGGGTCAGCTCATCATGCCTGGGGGCCTGGCCCTGCAAAGCATGCCTGGTAACGCCACGCAGTCCACCATCAGTCCTGCGCAGGCCATGCAGCCTGCGCTCAACGCCGGCCAGCACATTCAGGTACTGACGCATATCTCGTCATACTTTCGTATTGCTACGCAATTATCGTGTACATTTTCATTGGACAATTAGAGTGTAATTCAATCTCCACCGTGCAAGGTCATCCCTGAAATTTAAATGCATGTAACAATTGCATCTTAATGAGTACTTATATAAATTGTTTTAAATAATGGTCTTTTAATTATTATGTAAACAATGTTTTTCTTTTACATTTTCGGCTCATTGAATTATCATTAAAAAGGAATGGATTCGATTTTCAGACATTTCCACCAAGTTATTTCTGAAAGTATTGACTATTTATCACGGTGTCAAGCAATTAAAGAGTTATGAACTACCCTTTAAATTGTTTATCCTGAAATTATGCTTCGAACACGAGGACAACTGATCATTATTTTGTGAATAAGGTAATCACGGCGGGAGGGAAGGCGACGGCGTTCAATGGTCAGCTGACGGCAGCGGGCACCCACATGCTGACGACCGCTCAGCTGCCCACCGCGCAGCCTGGCAAGGCCGCCACCGCCACCCAGCAGGTCCTGCACCAGTCACAAGGTAGCTAGCTACTCATGCCCCACTGCAATCTCTCCTCAGTCTTCACAAAAATATATTCACTTCATTCATTTTTGGTTTAATCGAACTCAACAGTCACAAGGTAGCTAGGCACTCATGCCTCACTGCAATCTCTCCTCAGTCTTCACAAAATATATTTATGTTTTACCCATTAAATGTTAATGACATCATGCTGAAATGTAACTTCAGCTCACTTTTTTTTCCAAACATGTTTGCTTAGAGTTTGCACTAAGTTTTGCACTTGGTATAAACTGCTTGCATGAATCTCATTATGTCCACGAGTTTTAGCATCACGTGGACCAAAACAGGAGCTATATGTATATTTGTTCAAGCCAAGTTTAACACGTCCTGAGAAGTTTTTGGAACAAGTTAGTGATGTCATTTATTTATGGCAGACAACTTTTGGTGATGATTACAACTTTGCATTTTGTCTGGTCTTCTTGTTCTGATTTCTTCAACCGGCTTAACTCGGTTGAGTAAATAACTTTATAAGGATAATGATAATAATTTAACGTTCATTGAATAGCTAAGATAATTGCTATGATGTCACAGGCTACAGCCAACACAGCTTGCTCAGCTCGGGCTCCCAGACGCTGCTGCTCAGCTCTCCTATCAGCCAACAGCCCACGAATATCTTGCCTGCCGCTGCTGCTCAACCCAACACAGCTGCGGCAACCCACAAGCACCAGCACGACCACATGCAGAAGGTAATTACTGTGTATTACTGTACATACGTGGTGTGTAATTGTGCTAATTACTGATGAATTACTGAATTGTGGTAATTACTGTACCGGTGATATGGTCACCGACCACATGCAGAAGGTAACACTGTTTGGGAATACTTCATGCTTCACTAGAAGCAAAGTGAGATCCAAATTCAAAGCGAAATGCTGTTACAAAGACGGAAAAGATACTTATGTAATGTTTAGCAATATGCGTGATGGATTTCAAGAAATAAACCACAATCTAAACTTTTGCTGCAAACGTAAAAAACTTGAGAATGGTAATATCGGCATTATAATGTCAAACGTGATTGTCCACTATCTTTGCCCCGTCGTGCCACTCCTCACTCACCCGTACAGGCCCAGAAGCCTACTTCTTTTTTGACTGGTGAAACTCTCCCCGTCTCCCGCCCGCTAATATGCAGTTCAACTACTCCTACATTTCAACCACTAGATTTCATCCACCTCTACTGATTTCAAATACCAAAAGGAACTTGTTGAGCTCTCTTCTCCCACGAGTACTTAAAATATTACAGTAATATTATGGCTACTCGCGGTTACCCTCGGTATTATCGCGGTTACCCTCAGTATTATCGCGGTTACCCTCAGTATTATCGCGGTTACCCTCAGTATTATCGCGGTTACCCTCAGTATTATCGCGGTTACCCTCAGTGTTATCGCGGTTACCCTCAGTATTATCGCGGTTACCCTCAGTATTATCGCGATTATCCTCGGTATTACGAAGTGCCTGCTGCGTGCAGGTGACCCAGGTGAGCACCGCCTTCAGCCCAGGCGTCCAGGGCGGCCTCACCTGGGCTGGTCTCCAGAACCCTGCCGTGCTCGCTGCTGCTGCAGCTGCCGCCCAGCACCCGCAGCAACATCAACAGCAACAGCAACAGCTGTTAGTAGAGAAACCTAGTAACATTAAGTTGCCGAACAATTTTCTGTTTATTGAAAAATATACTTATCCATTTCTTTTTCTGGCAATGATGATTTTGAAATTCATCGATTTTGATGAGATTTACTTGCTAAAAAATAATATAGAATCAAGACTGTGTTTAAACTACAAATCTTCAAATGTTGATAAGTAGGTGAGAATATATCATAATTGTTCGTGGCTCAATTCATGTCATTTTTCAATTCAACATAAAATTTTGTCTCCTACAATATTATGACCAGCAATAAACATCACCGTCATTGGCTGTCACAGTTACTTTGTGTCTAACGAAGTTATTGTTGGTTATTTGTTCAGGCAACACTCGCAGCCATCCATCATCTTCCGTAACGCACAAGCTGGGCCTCAAGACAATGGCGTCTACATCCCAAATCCAGTTCATTCTACCAGTGAGTGGCAGTTAAAGATCTACGTCTCTTTATTAAAAGTTCTCTTTATTTTTTCTTTAAGATATTTGCATAGATTATGTTATGGAACTTCACTACTTATGCCCATACTTTATACTGCAGCAGGCATCGAACTGTCGTTAGTAATTTTTTTATATTTTTTTATTAGGCAATAACAGCATAAAATGAGACTGTATATCGCGGTGAAGGAATAGAATTCGCATATACTTGCTGTGCAGGTCCTGCTAACATCCAGCCCAAGGTGACGATGAGTAGCAATGGCAACGCTGCTGCTATGCGGCCACCCCTGCTGCCGGCATCACTGCAGCCCCAGCAGCTACACATGACACACACTCTTGGTACGTACACTGCAGCCCCAGCAGCTACACATGACACACACTCTTGGTACGTACACTGCAGCCCCAGCAGCTACACATGACACACACTCTTGGTGCGCGCAGCTCTGCGCACGTATTTTAATCCATGCAGCATTGCTTATATACCTTGGCACTTGTAGCCTAAATATTCTATCGAGCCTGGTCGTTATTTCGTTTTGAACATCGTATCTCTATCATTAGCGGATATTTGGTTGGAATTTGTATCAGTGTCTATGAGCAATCAATAATTTCGCGTTTTGAGCAATACTCTGTACTAACCGACTAAGTGGCACAAGGTGCTCTGTCTTGGTAAATATATATACTTCATTTATAAAAATTTATCAAGTTATAAGTAGCTTCTAAACTGATAAAGTATTGCTGTGGTCCACAGGTCAGTCAGTGAGCGTGTCGGGTGTGGTGCCGGTCTCTGCAGGTCAGCAACAACAGCTGGTGACCCTCCAGCAGCACCAACAGCAGCAACAGCAGCTCATACGACCTATAGCTTCTGCTAGTACACAAACGGGCGTGAGCGGGCAGACGGGCAAGCATCAGGTGAGAAATGTAAGCATTTAATTTCATATCTTTTGTGAGCCTACTAAAAAATTTTTTGTTCGTGTGTTTGTTCCAATTTCAATGCTAGTCTGATCATGACCTATAGGACTGTTGTTTTAAGATCCTGCAGTCATATTACATTTAAAGATATTATTTTCTAGCGAATGCATTGCTTTTCACTGACAAATGAAATAAATAATAGGAGCGTAAATTGATTGTGTTTGGTGGATCAGCATTAGGTTGATTAGGCGAGTAGATGTTGTGTTCTATTAGTTTAAATCACTCACGTTTACTGTACGGAGTCTCTGTGAATGTAGTCAGAAACAGAATCGTATAACACAATCTCGTGAAGTAAATGATTCATTTAAATACGAGTGGTTTTTATTCTTATACGAGTTTATTATTATACGAGTGGTTCATCAAAAAGTTTAGTTTGCATTCCTATTTTACATGCTTTTGTTTTTCAGGGGAAAGTCGCTCGTAAGAATCAGCGCACAAACAACTCAAACAGCACAAACGTGAACAGCTTGGCGCTAACAGGGAGCAACAACAGCATCAGCACCAGCCTCCCCATCATCACCGCTACTGGAGCTATCACCAATTCAGCCTTGGTCACAAAGGGCGTTCAAATACAACCCATGCCATCCATTGGACAGCATCCTAATCAAATAAAGTGAGTTTTGCTTACAGTTCACTCACTTATACACATTGATGACTGGGTTTGGTCATTTCATCGTTTTTGTTTCCACGTTCAGAATTCTGTTCATTTTCTACACCACCAGCGTTATTAAACACCGCTGCATCAGAAACCTATGTGGTTTCTGATTTATTTTGATTTGATTTTTGGTACAGCTTCTCACTAACTTCTTATTTGGAGCCTCCGCACTTGCATTATTCCTTCACGTCTTGAGTTTGCTAGGGAGCGGTTTCTCTAATCACGTTTCATGCTTAAAGAGCACAAAATAATTCCTTTGAATGAAAGAATAAATCAATAATTTGTTGGCGTTATGCCCTGTCTCCCCAGCGCAGTGCAGTAATGCAAATTTGTTTGTTCTTATTATGTGTTTAAGCCTGTTTCATGTGTGACTACTTGGCATTCACTTCTATAGCAATTCATTTTCGAAAACAAAATATTCTCTCGCACGGATCAGGGCTAATGTCCGAAATACTAAAAAATGCTATTTGCCTAAGAAACTAGGCCTTTTATTTCTGGACATGTCTATGCTTAAAAGTTTTTTGTTAATCTGCAATGTAAGCAATTAAAATATCTTGATACATAAATAATTTGTTCCAGACCCTTGGCTCCTCTGACGCCTTCATCGAGCGGGCCTATCCCTGCTGGCTTGCCACAGTTGGTGCGTATGCCACATAGCCACGCCGGCGGTCTGAAGACCACAGCCATGGCCTTAACCAACGCCACGGCGACCCTAGGCGCCCTCGTCGCCACGAGCACGTCCACGCCGCAGCAGTTCACGAGTAACACTAACACCACGTCCATCATGGTGGCTCCTCAGCCCGCCACGGCGTACGTGTTGCCTTCGTCCTCCGTGGGGGTGGCCGTGAGTGCCACGCCTGCCACGAGCGTGGGGGGCGTGTTGACGGCCGCCAGTGCGGGCGGTGTGCTGACCGCGGCCAGTGGGGCGCCTCTGTACACACAACTAGCCCCTACACAGCAGATCACGCTACAGCAACAACAACAGTTCCAGCATCAGTTTCAGCAACAACAACAACTGCATTTTCAGCAGCAGCAACATGCTGCTGCGGTCGCTCAGCAGCAGTCTCAACTGCAGCAACTGCATCAACAACAACAGCAGCAGCAACAGCTGGCATTACAATCCCAGCAGCTCGGGCTTCAGCCCATCGCGCCAGCGTTGATGTCTCAGCAGCCATCGCAGCACATCACATTGCAGCCTGTCTCAAGCCAAGCTCCTGGCACTACTGCTGTGTCGCAGCAGTCACACCTACAGCAGCAGCAGCAGCTGCAGCAACAACATCAGCAGCAACAGCAGCAGCAATTGCAGCAGCAGGCACAGCAACAACACCAACTACAGCAACAGCAACAGTTACAGCAGCAGCAACAGCTGCAGCAGCAAGCACAACAGCAACAAGCGCAGCAGCAACAGGCCCAGCAACAACAAGCACAGCAGCAGCAGGCCCAGCAACAGCAAGCACAACAGCAGCAGCAAGCACAACAGCAGCAGCAAGCGCAGCAGCAACAGCACCAGCTGCAACAGCAACAACAACAGCAACTGCAACAACACCAACAGCAGCAAGCAGTTGCCAAGCTCCAGCAAGCACAACCGCAGGCAATATCAGCGCAAACGATTTCAAACATGGCGACTACGTCTCTGAACGGTAGCGCGGTGGCCTCAAGTGCTGCTCAGACTGTCAGTAGCAGCAGCAACGTCGTCAGCAATAATGCTTTCCCTGAGAACACCGGCATGTCTGCAGAGGCCAACTGTGCATCCGAGAATGGCGATGGTGAGATTACAGGCACTTCGTTATACTATGAGACCTTTTAGGTTTCTTATATCTTCAAATTGCCAATATTGAATAAAGCTATTGATCTGAAACGGCCTTTTTTGAAGGAGTTGAGAGGAATACGGAAATTTCTCCCAAAAATTTGTTTGACGTTAATGCAATTCACGAGTTGATACGAGTTTAGAAAAGCCCATCATTTAATGATTCTGGGTACCTCACCATTGTATAATATTGTGAGTCACGTATAGGCGTATAGTGAGTCAAGTATACGTTTCAGGCCCTCTCCTGGACTTATTTAATCTGCAATTTCAACAAGTAAATCAGGCTAAAAGTTTTATTCGTATATTTTTAAATTAGTACCTAAGTCCATTTCGATCAGATTTTATGTATCTTCAAATAGGCCCCTCCATGTAGGCAGAAAAGTTTTGCTGAGAATTTAAATTTTTTAACGAGACGTCACCGTTTGCCCTCGCTACTGGAGCATTTATTGCTTTATTTACCATTTATTGCCTATGTGTATGTATTGCTTTATTCCCTAAGCGCACTTTCTCTTCACCGCACCAAGTTTTTGCAATGTTTTTTGTTCGCTTCAGCGCGCAGCAGCGGCGCATCCACACCCGTGAGCTCGAGCAGCTCTGGCACGAAGACGCCCGTGCCTGAAGCAGGGGCGACCAAGATTCACTCTGCCGCCCTATCGTCCCCCGTCGCGCCCTCGTCGGGGGCCCCTAAAGCCATCGTTAAACCGCAGGTCCTAACTCACGTCATCGAAGGATTCGTCATACACGAAGGTACCAGCGTTGAACTCTTCATTATTGGTGTCAGAAATTGTCCTTGCTATACTAGTAATAATAATTCTCCGCAGTAGTCGTACGGAAATTTCACTATTAAAGGTCCTCCTCAGTGTTTTTCAATTCATTTTTTTTTCTATTATGAATCTTCTAAAAGTTAATAAAAAATCTATATATAATCATTTTCCCTCGTAGAAAATGGAAACGTCGGTTTTGAGGAAACTTGGGTGAAATAAATTCCGTATTTTAATCATATAATTCAAGGCTTTCATTCGATTTACGCGAGCAAGGCTATGTGGTCGTGATATGTAAGAAAGATGTCCACAAGGTGGTTCTTAAACTTTCATAAAATGACCTCGCAGCTTCGGAGCCGTTCCCGGTGTGCCGCAGTTCTCTGTTATCGGACCTCAACGGCGTCAAGGTGAACGGTAAAGTCCCGAGTGATGGCAGTAACCGCGTCAGCGTCAACGGCACAGCACATCTCGAGTCTGAACTCCAGCTAGACAGTAAATGTCCCTCCTCATCAGCTGAGCTTCCTAATGGACAAGCTGCTTCTCCTGGTGAGTTACTCATCTCTTTCAGCCATGTAAATTATTTTGACGATTTTTTTATAATTCCGTTTGTAGGACACAATATGTACTTAGTATATGAGAGTTCCCATAACGACATGGCTCATTTGGGTTTATCTGGATCTGAGTTAGGGGTCCAAGTCAACTAATCATAATGAAGACTTGAAGTTATGAATACAAGTTATGAAAATTCATTGATTTTGAGACATTCGTCGCCAACAAACAGATACTCATTCTCAGTTGTAAAATATTTCACCAACTACGAATTTTTGCAAATTATGTGGGTAACTGACTTAGCTAAATTTTGGAAGCAATTTAAAGTTAACTCTTGACAGCTTTAGAGAAAGTGCGAACAAATTCTTGTGCGGCAGGCAAGCTTGTCGACGTTGGCAGCGGCCGGTGCGAGGCGTGCGGCAAGCCTGTGGACGGCGCGCTGTGTAAGAGCGGAGCCAAAACCAAACTGAGCAAGAACAAGCGCTTCTGCAGCGTCGCCTGCAGCAGGAAGTCAGTTTCTTGGAGGTTCTCATAGCTATGCGTGTTAATTTAATGTAAAAAGTAGTTTTGACGGCTAAAGTTTAAGTTTTTAAGACGGTATAATAATGATTTTACGCATTTTTATGTATTGATAGCCCATTTTCGTAATGCCCTTTTCGCTGCCCTCAGCTTTTTTGTAATTCTTTTGCGGCAATAATCAAATAAATTTGTAATGTTATAATCTAATAACGTTGTGAAGTTGTAATGAAATAACGTTGTAAAGTTGAAATCAGATGATGTTGTGAAGTTGTACGGTAATAATGAAGGTATTTTTCACCTAGGATAACGAGCGGCCAGCAGAAACGAGCGCTCTCAAGCAGCAGCCCTCGACCCGACGGCGGCAGCGACGCCACTAAACGCTTCAAGGAGGACCTCGCAGCAACGGCTCCTCTCAGCGCACGTCAGTTATGCTAAACAACGATGTTATAAAAGCTGAAGATAACGAATAATCAATTAACGAAGATTATATTGTTATGACGAGTCATGCGTCTGCCTCAGTTAAGGCATAAATTGCAGGTTTCAAGTTTGTTCAATAAACCCTAGAAGAAATATATTGCAGATTGAGCTACAATTAGAGAATATGTGTTCTGCAAAATTGATTTCCCATGGATAATCTTCCTCTTGCTATCAGAAACGAGCTCACTGCTGTGACCCTCATTGAGAACACAGATTTGAACGCATCCGTATATTGTACTAACATGTCTATTTGTTTTTGTTGTCATTGAGCAGTAAATTTTTTTCTCAAAGTTTTTGTTGTCATTGAGCAGTAAATACGTCATGACATTTATGTTGCAGGTACTGAGGTAGAGCCAAACAAGTCACATCCCCAATCATCCGCAGTCTCACCTCGTCTCCAGTCTCCAGCTCAGCCACTAATGACAAACTCTCCTGCCGGTGCACTGACTCCACTAATCGTGCCACCTCTTGGTGGTATAGTGCCACCTCCTAACCCAGTGCCTCTTGGTACTCCTGGCGTCGTAGCTCCTATGCAGCTTACGCCTGCCATGCCGTTGGCACCTGAGCATTTACCGCCTCAGGTTCTGCCTCCAGTGCAGCCCGTTGTTGGTATCACAAATACGGCCGTCGCTGCGGGTCAGGCGATTTTATCAGCTGAATGCAAACGCGATTCTTCGGCTCCATCGCCTGTTCTCATGGATCAGTCGACACCCACCAAGGTAGGCACCATTTCTTATTTTCTTGACTTCTACAGAGTAGTTTTTTCAGCCTTTGAATTTATTGAAAATATTCAAACTAGACATGTTTCACGTGAATCTTGCTAACTCATAACTAAAATCTCTCTTATATCATGTTTTTCCTGTCACTGCAGCGTGTTGGTGGTGGCCCGGCCAATTATTTAACAACGGACATCCCCCAGTGGACGGTCCAAGACGTGGTGCAGTTCATTCTTAACCTGCCAGGTTGTCAAGATTACGCTGAGGATTTTGAGCTCCAGGAAATTGATGGTCAAGCGCTCATGTTACTGAAAGCCGATCACCTAATGAACGCCATGAGCATCAAACTCGGTCCAGCTCTGAAAATTTGTGCAAAAATTGAAGCCATGCGAGGCGAGAAATCTTCGCCTCAGCCTGCGCCTCAATGATGAACGTACAAACAATTTGTATCTTGATAATTTCTCTGTTCTTAAGTGGACGAGCGTGCAATAAGGCGGCTTTGAGCAGCATTTAGCGCAATCAATAAGACGAGTGTTAATGCTCTATTTCCTCACAATGTCTTAAGTCTCAAACAGTGAATATTTTCATTGTAGTTGTAAAAGCCGGCGATTTAAACGTGATGTAATTACGAGCTATGCTATTTCTGTGCAGAACCTAATGTAAAAATTAATAATCTTGACTACTTATTTTATTTATTTGTGCCTACTTTTTTGAAAACTAGGCAAGCGGTTTGTGGATGGCGAGTGTACTTTTCTTTTAATTTATTCGTGGCTCCCTACATCGCTGCAGTTTAGTTTCTTATCACGTTGGGATTTGGTTGTAAGCTTGAAAATAATTTTTTGCCCATTCGTTTGCTCATATGACCAAGTTGTAAAACTTCCATTCCCGCATCAACGAAGAGTGGTATGAAAAAAATTTGTATTCGTCGACCATCTGAAATTTTTTCAGTATCAAATAAAACGTGACTGCTTTGATCCATGTCAAAAATTCATCGTTCTGAGCTTCTTACTTTATAATATTGACATCATCATACTATAGGGCGATAATTCTTTAAAAAAAGTGTTATTTGCTGGTCTTAAGCTCTTGAGGCGATCAAGTTTTATTGGTGTGAACGACTTGCCGTAAAAATTGTTGGTGAAGTTCAAGGAAGAATGAGGGTCGCCACAATTACTAGCAAGAATTGAGGTTAGTTTTGTTCCCGTAGATTATTCATTAGTTTTATTCGTTTTGAGGTCTTTGAAGTGATGCTGCTTGCAAACGATTTTGTCTTTTTTTTTTGTTTTTTTTTTCATTCATCAGATACTGTGTTCATCGTTGATGTTGGCGATGGTGATTCCCATTTGGTTTCGTTTCAAAAATGGCGAAAAATTTGGCAATGAAACAAAACAGCAGTTTGAAGCATGTTGAATTCGGACTCTGCCAAATAGCGGCTTCCTTCGTTGCATTTCTGTCTGTTACGTGAAAGTATTTTATGTATATCTGAGATTCTTTGTTACGCTAAATAGATGCTTTACCTTTCCCTTCGAACTCTTAACTTCAGTCCGTTGAGATTTAGTACTCGACCAATTGTATAGTATTCAACCCTCTAATATTATGCCTTGATGTTTAAGATTAAAGTCGATGGTTTCACAGTTTCAATAGTTGCTTTTACATTGAGGCCTCCACACACTGCCATTTTCCGATGTGTTCAAGTTACTCTAGTGCGAATCGTTTTGTTATAGATGGATGTTCTATGCGTGTCGCATGTAAATATTATTGCTATCTTTAAGAGCTAAGATGTTGAGAGATACTTTCTATAACGAACCTCCGCCATTGACAATGAGATAAATGAATAAAGTGTACCCCATGCGAGCTGTCCAAGCGCAGAATGTTGATAAAGGCAACTCTAATTATGACGGTAATAATGACACAGTTTCATAATGATCAGACAAGCTTTTTGATTTGTTAATTTATTTTGCGATTAATGAATTTTTTGTTTATCTGTACGTTTATCATGTATTTTGCGAATCTTCAACTTCTGAACTTATACACAGCAAGCATCACAAAAACATTAATTCATCTCATTTTGCAGAATTTGAATTCTAGGCTAAGGTTACTTGTAGGTAAGAAGAAAACTTTGAAATGCTGTTAATGTGTAGAACTTGGTATTGTTTCTTGAATAATTATCATGGTAAAGTCGGCGCTGGAACTACCTATTCTGTACGTATTTTATGAATCTTGACTTGGCTGGAGTTCGCTTCAGAATGATTCTTTCTGCCCGAAATAAATCTTACTGCCATTGCCGCTCTTGAAATTTTACGTCCTTCAATTTATAATTTCTAATTTACCATGTTACTTAATCCTTTTATAATATCATTAAATTGCTACTCATCAGAGCTCTTTTTAATTTTGTTCCTTGCTATGCATAATACCGGATAATACCTGACGCTGTCTATGTAAACCAAACCATTTGGATCAATAATTTTCGCTTTCCGTAGCCTCACTCGACGTGCTATGAAATGTGGGCCAAAACAACAACACTCTTCAGAGCTATAGTGTAGATCCTACGTCAACAAGCTGTAGCAGCTTTTTTGATTTTGTAACGCTACTTGTGTTACTTCACTAATAAAACTTGCTATTACATGATTTTATCATTCATATTAGTGTATTTAGTAAACTTATTGTACCTTTGTTCGTACTAATCATGCGACCCAATTTTCCACTAGCGTCTCTCCCAACAAACTAACATTAATTAACTAACATTGTGCCCGGCGCGCATGTGGCTGATGTCTACCATAAACTAACTAGCAACAGAAACCCTGTCAGCGCAGAAGCAGAGAGATGCAAATGAATTGGGATTGAAGTCATCTACTGATTTAAGAATCGCAAACACTCTACAAATGTATAAATTATGAAAAGCTTGTCATCATTCAATCATTTACTGCAGCAAAGAAATAGCTACCCGCAAACTGCAGAGCGTGGGCGGACGAAATTATTGCTACAAAATAAATGCTATGAGTAATTGATGATTTAAATACCCTAATCCTAATCTTACCGTGAGCAAAATGATTAAACGTTGAAAAATCACTAACAAAAATGGGATTAATTGAGCAGGGGAATGAATTGAGGTAGTAACATTATATCAGCCTTTAATGCCGTTAATGTCATGAGACATATATTACTAAATGACAAGTAAATCTAAAATTTTACCCTAAAATGTGCAGAGAATAATTATCTTTACCCTAAAAATTAGAATAGCAATGTGGACAGTTTATGAGTAATTTTGAATTCGGAGGATTTATTTTGCAATAAAAATACTACAATAACTTGCAACCTCCATCAGCGTAATGGATTTTGACGTAGGGGCGAATGGGAGGGATAAACTCTAACTCCACTCTGTACCGTATTTGTTTTCGTAAGAAAATCTTGACTCAAGGAGTACGGTACATCTGGGGGCGAATGCACTTGTGTGTTGTGTCCGATTGAAAACAGTTGGCTGTCTGATGCCCTTCCCCCGTGCTTTTAGGCGGTTATACTCGGAGATAGTATTAGCTGCGCGTATTCGCTGCAAGTTTTCTAATACCAAATACTGTGGTTTTGAAGCAGTCGGTGCCTCGGTAGCATACATAGTTTCCACTCTTGCTGAGGAGGTGAAAAACTTTAGAGCAGCATACATAGAGTGTGCGTGAGAGACCTAATAAAGTCATGTTTAATTTCAAAACAATTCTTTCTGAATTAGTTTTCGTCGGAATATCTATCGTGACGTATATTCCACGACAAAACGTACTTTTGAAATTTATATATGAAGTGTTCAATAATATCTTAACAGTTAACACCTCTTGACGTTCTTAGAACCGTCGTCTTTGGGACAAGATATAGTTCATAAAATTAGAAACACTTGCCCCTTGAAAGTCAGAGAGTGCCACAAAATGACAAATGCACACAACGGCTGCTGCAGCCATACTGACGAAACTTGACGCAAGTTGACGCCACATTAACAACTGCTCCAGACGGAATTGTACAGTTACTTGCATCTGAAGAATAAATCATCACAATATTTGGAATGCAAAAACTTGGAGAGAATACTCGCCACTAATAATAGCCCCGTGCATAATTGCACCCTTTCTGTGCTACGTACATGTGTTTAATATAAAATAAGTGTTGGTTTGTGTGAGTGCTTCATTAACCTGCGTTTGGTGCGAGGCACTTACGTATAGTCATTTTTCATCCGTCTGTGTCCTCTTTCTGAGGATTTGGTCCCTGACGCTTGATCGCCCGACTCAAGTGAGCTATGTCCAGACGGGCAGCAACTGTTGGACAGGACAAACCTTACAGGGCTAAGGTAAGTTTAGGAGTTTAATTGTATCATTTTTGGAATTGAACTTAACTAAAAAGACTGTATGACTAATTAGATCCGAAACTAAATTTATCGGAGACCCCTGTGAGCACAAACTTGTCGCACATGATGCAAACCTCTTGGAATCTTTGAGTTTGTCATAAATTTCGTTCGATCAGTGAATCATGTTGAGCGACCCAGGTCCTGCAAGAAACCTGTGGCACAGGATGTTGAATTCGATGACCCATCAACACGTCTGGGCTTAAAAGAATCTTGAAACGTACTTTTGAAATTTATATATGGACTTAATATATATATGGATATATATATATGGATCCATATATATATATGGACATGTTGAGATTTTCTCATTGAAAGCTGAATATTAATCTAACATCATTGCCACTTAAGTTTCCACAGAACTTGTGTCGTCCGGCCTCACAGGCCTATAGAAACAATGGACAAAACTAAATGGCAATTTTTTGTAAGATCAAAATACCTCTGTAGTTATTATGCGGTAATCGAACCATCCAAATTGTAGTTCTGGCCATTATTGTTTGGTTTTTGTTTACGAGCTGTGAATTGAGTGCAGAATCTGCCAAATGGCAACTCGTGTGTCTAATTATCCAACGCAGCCCAGTTACGCTTATAGTTTAACTTTCCATTGTTGAATAGTCTTACCCTTATTCTAAGTAGGAAAGTAGCTTAGTCTTAGTTAACATCGTAGCGGCTGTAGTATAGGTAACGTATTAGTTAAAATGTTTTTTGGTTAAACACGATTTGGTTTGTTTCTGATCTCAAACTGCCAAGCTTGGTGAGTGAAAGTTCCACGTGACACATTCCTCCGTTCTATTGTCTAGTTTTTATATGCTAAATGCACATCGAAATTATTTACTTAATTCCAAACAACCAGCAATACGATTTTCCTACACAATTTACGTCCCACATCCCCGTCCACGGTCAATTATCCTGAATGTGAGATCCATTCTCCACAGAAGGGAAGCAACATTTTTTACCAATTTATATTTAAGCTAGAAAGAAGAAGTACTATCACTAATTCGTGCTATAATGCGCTTCAAAAGTAGTGTAAAACACCGAGTTTTGAATAATTATTGTCATGCGTGTAGTGGTAAGTGGGATTTAGTTGCACGAAAGCGGTTAGAATAATTTAGTTATTCATCGAAAGACAATTTCTACAGTTTACAACCATTAATTTGATTGGTATACTGAAGAACTGGGTCCAATTAATGAGTGAAAACGCGTTCCATTTCGTCCCCACCGAATTTTCCATGGACGACACAGTTCCTTAGAATTGAACCTAGGAAAATATATCTAGCTAAAAAGTATTTTGTTACTTTTGCTTTGCGATTCTGCTGTAGCATCAATAAAAATAAAATAAACTGGATAACTATTTTATGCCACATATTACATGCAAGGATCACACTCATCACATGTCCCACCACGTACATGTGGCGCAGACACAAGGACATTCGGCACAGCTTACATGTGACATACGTAGCTTACATGTGGCATTTGTTCTTCGTGACATTGATTCAAGGTGCCATAGGTTAAATTCACACAGGTTCAATAGGTCGCATTCAGCATAGGTTTCATGCGGCATTGGCTCCATGTGGTATAGGTTCCGTTTCCAATGATTGTTTGGCCAATTGGTCATAAGTGTGCTGCAGCATCGACGCGAGGAGATAGTTGAGACCACTTCTCCAGCAGAATTAAATTGCGTTTGATCTTGGGGATGTGCCCGACGGATTAAAGGTAAAGAAAGAGAGGCGACTTATCGATAACTGATATCACTTGAACGCAAAGATGACAGTAAAAAAGGTAGTGCAAAAATTTGCGTACACGCGGTAATTGGGCCCATCTGACCAGAATTATCAACCTTCAGTAGCAATATCTGGTTAGCAACTCAAACTAATTAGACTCTGTAACGCGCAGTGTATCTAATATCTGGTGACA